CCCGTCCGTCGCCGCGGCCGGAGCCACCGCACAGGCCCGCATTCCGGAACCAAAGCACGCGGCGCTAACCCAATCCAGCGAAGGCGGCGGCTGAGGCCGTCTCTCTCGCACTCGTCCTTCCGTAGGGGTGAGAGAGAGGGAGAGAGAGAGAACGATGAAAGCGCTGTTCAAATTCGGCCCGCTATGCTGAAGGCGCGTAGGCCCACCCCGTTTCTCGAAGTAGCAGCAGCAGCAGACTGATTCCGAGAGTCGTTTATCGTCGCTCTGTTTCCCCCGCACTCGTGGGGCGTCCCGTATAGGTGCGAGAGAGACAGAGCGACGAAAGAGACTTTCGGAATCAGTCTCCAGTTCTGGCAGGGCAGTGTTCCGGGCGGCTGCTCGTGCGGTTCGGCTTGAGGCCCCGGCGCTCGCGAGGAGGCCAAGAAGGCAATCAAAATTAAGGGCTGCTTCGGCGTGGAGCGCAACGGCCTCACTGCCTCGGGGAAATCCCCCGGACGCGCCAAATAAGGACGTCATGTTCGGCGTGGTGGCCCACTGGTGGGAGGCCGGCGCCAGAGGGCCTCGCTCCGGGGGTGGCATCTTTGGGGAGAACGGGGTGATGGGGCCGCGGGGGTGGGATTTGCGAATCGGCACGGCGCGTGGGTGGACTCGTGGGGAAGGAAGACAACCCCGCTTCGTTCGGCCTACTCCGCTGGATCGCCATGCTTTGCTTCTTTGCCCCTTACACTCTAAATTTCTTACAATGAAGTGAGTGATCATACAGAACAGTGCATCTTCATAGGGAATCCCACGGTTATGGGATTCCGCTGTTATGTATACGAATGCCGCACACATAAGTGTTGCAGTGAATGGCGCAAGCATAATACGAAGGAAAATTCCTCCATGATGCGAATCTTTCGGTGATTTTCATTTTCGACGATACCCAGAAAAACCTTTGTGAAAGAAGGAAAAACTACGTTCGTATCTCGAGGTGCCATTTTTTCGCAATAAAGGAAAATTCTCTGTTAGATATAGACATTTACCTCATTGTTTCGTCAGCTCTGCTTCGCCCAGCTTCACCCCGCGTCAAGCTTCACCCCGCTTCACCCCGCTTCACCCCGCTTCGCCCCACTTCGCCCCGCTTCACCCCGCTTCGCCCCGCTTCGCCCCGCTTCACCCCGCTTCACCCCCGCTTCGCCCCGCTCTACCCCGCTTTACCCCGCTTTACCGCTCTCCGCTTCACCCCGCTTGACCCCGCTTTACCCCGCTTCGCCCCACTTCATTCCCGCTTCGCCCCGCTTCACCCTGCTTCTCTCTGCCCCGCATCGCCGCCAACAAATCGAGGGCAGATAATGAACCTGCGACCCACTACTGCTGCTTCTGCTGTTTCTGCCGCTTCTGCCGCGCCCCGCCGGCGCAGGGCAAGGCACGGCACTACTACTCAAGTACCGGGGGCCGCGCCGCGCCACGACCCGCACGGTCCAGGCAGGGGCGGAATTTCACCCCGGGGAACTGCTTGGAGGGACGCTGGCGTGCCCGCGGCCCCGCCTCGCCCCGCCCCAGCCCCGCCCCGCCCCGCCCCAGCCCCGCCTTCCGCGAGGGGTCCGAAATGGGATTTGGAAGCGCAACAAGTTTCTTCCTTCGGGTTCCTTAGGCAGAGTGGCCATATACTTTCATGAAATGGAGATTTGTTTTGACGGAATACAAAGCGACTTCATGTATGCCCGACCCCCTGTTGTTGTTGTTGTTTCATTCCTCGCGAGCAACGAACTTCGCGGGATCGCAGGCACACTTTGCGGTGAAAAAATAATGCAATCAAGTGCGCGCATGTGTTCACATAAACAGGAAATTTCCTCCCTCAGCCCCGAGCACGCGGGCCTGGCGGCGCCGCCACTGTCATTCATACTGCAACAATGCCCTAGAAAAAAGATGCACCTCGGAATTTTGGTATAATTTCGCTATTAGCTTCTGCAAAATTAATTCTGTCGCAGGTTTTGATAGTAAAATTATATTGTTACCAAGCAGGGTGGGATATAAATCGTGGGAATTGCAAAGTCAGTCTCATTTAAAAAAAAATTGAAGTTTCGCAAAACGAATGGCAGTGTAGCGTCCCAGTCCTGGATACTGCAGGGAAGCCCCATTACGGACCCCATTTCCGGCACGTGTTACGTAATTATTGAAGCCGCCTAATCGGTGCGAGGCAGCGCGCGGCACTACACTGAATATCTGTTGTCTAATGACTGTGAGCCGCGCAACGGAAATTCCCGCAAATTCCGGCGCGCTAACTTGGCTGGCTGCTCGGGCGGGGCGGCCGGGGCGCTGCTGCTACCCTTGGCTGTCTGCTGGGGCGGGGCGGCGGGGAGCCCCCCGGCCTTGGGGCTCTCACGTGGGATGATGAGGGCGTGGGGTCGTGGCCCCAGCGAGGGGGCAGAAACGCCAATAAGGCGACGGTGATTAAAAATAATTTCGGGACCGTGTGGCACTGCACTGTTATTCAACGAATGTGACGTCATTTTAGTTACGTAGAATGTGGATTTTGTCTCGTTTGTTATGATTTTACATTGGTTTAGATATTGATCGACCGTTCAAGCGAGACATCCCTGTCTCGTTCGAAGGAATGCGACACCGTACTCAAACGGACGTGACAAAATTAACATTCTAACGGACATGACGTCACTTTGATTGAATAACAGTGTTGCTCACGGCTGCACGGTATCGCGCCTCGTGTTGGCAAGATGATTAGCTTGATGGTGTAGGCCGCGCTTCACGTGAACCCTTGATGATGATGTGCCTCGTGAGGCACTTGTCTTGATGATCTTTCGCACCGTTTCGCGCTCAGCAGCAAAACACAATAAGCGTCCACTGCTCGCTCATGAGTCGAATTTCACCACGGATGAGGGATATCACCCGCAGCAGCAGCAACAACAGCTGCCCAGTTTCTTTAACCCCCTCTGTCTACCGTACACCTCTAGAAAAAGTAATTTTTAAAATGAGAAATTTCAGTTATGGAGATTTACTTAGGTTCACTTAAATTCATAAGGTTGCTTTACTGCTTGACCACAAGGTAAATTACTTTTGTTGTAATCAAATTTTCTAGTTACTGTACTTGTTATTTGTTTGCTGGGCAGTTTATCCTAAGTTCCATGTTGCTTCGAAGTAATTTGTTTTTCTCTCCTTGTACTTACGTTATACTATCAGAAAAGAACACGTCCTACAATATTTTTCTTCTTAAATTTCGTGATTGGACTGTGTGCGCAAGAAAATATCTCACCGCAAAGCTGTAGAGCAAAACGATAAACCATTTGACTGACCGCTGGTTCCGTGTCTGCAGTTCCAGGCGGCGCTGCTGCAGCGGTGGAGCCTGCCCGACTTCATGTGCCCCTTCTGCCCGTTCGTCCAGGTGGTGAGCGTCAACGTGAGCGTGTTCACGCTCACCGCCATCGCCGTGGACCGCCACCGTGCCGTTCTCTCGCCTCTCAGGTAATTACATTTTCTCCACCTTTTTGTGTTTTTTTTTCGCGGAAGCAGACATGTATTTTCGGCAAAGGACAGCGGTGTTGCCCCTTTGGGTTTTAAGGCTTCCCTACTTGAGGGCGCTAATTTGACGTTACATGTCGACAACTTCCTTTCCAACCAGCCCTTACGCAACGACAAAGTAAATCCATGTGTGCGTGTGTGTAAGCTTGAGAAATACGAGATTCAGAAGTTAGCTCTTTTTATTTTTACGCTTCCACACCTGAGAGGCCTAATTTGATCCCCAACCCCCTTTTTCACAGGCCCTTACCACCCTTACGCAACGCGCCCTCTTAACTTCAGCCAATTTTCCCCAAGACTGTGTTTTGCTCGCTGTCACCGGAATCAAATCGACGCGCTCAATCTCCGTGATTTGCCGGCGCCAATGCCGCTTCTCTCTCTTCTCTCTCTCTCTCTCTCTCTCTCTCTCTCTCTCTCTCTCTCTCTCTCTCTCTCTTTCTCTCTCTCTCTCTCTCCCTCTCTCTCCTTATCCAGCGTGATTGCTGGCCGGCATTGATAAGACGACGCAAACTGCGGGTCAATCTGGCCCCCAATGAGAACGGTGGGGGAGGGGGAGCGGGGAGGGGAGGGGGAGGGGGGAGGGGAAGGGGGGAGGGGAAGGGGGGAGAGGGGAGAGTGGTCAGTGGGTACTGGGAGCTCTGCAATAAGTCAACCCTCCGCACGATTAGTCATTTGGGGCCGCGGGGTCCCCTCGGATCGCCGCCCAAGGTCCTGCTGAGGGGGAGAAGTCAAGGAAGAAGTAGAAAGGAGAGAGTGGGAGGGGGGGGGGGGGTTGACGAGTCCAGCCCAACAAGACCCTGACGCCCACACCTGCTGAGAGCGCGGCAACATTCAGTGGCCACACAGGGGTGGGCCGACGGGCGGCTGAATAGCGCCGCCTGTTCGCGCGGGCAAGCCTCCTGGATTCGATTCCGACAAAGCGGTGTGCTTGGGTCTGCGGGGGCGAACCACCGCAGACCGATTCCGAAAGTCGTTTTCGTCGCCTTGTCTCTCTCGCACCGAAACGGGACGCCCCGTGAGTGCGAGAGAGACAGAGCGACGGAAACGACTCTCGGAATCAGTCTGCAGCCCGGCGGGCCAGCGCGTGAAGGAGGTGCGGGGGCGGCGGAAAGGATAATTCGTTTCCAGTCCGGTGAGAAACCTCGCAGCCACACCTGCAGACTGATGCCGAGAGTCGTCTTCGTCGCTCTGTCTCTCTCGCTCACACAAGCACGCCCCGTAGTTGTGCGAGGGAGACAGGTGACGGAAACGACTCTCGGAATCAGTCTGCTGCACACACGCGGTGGCTCTGCAGCCTGGCGGAGGAATGGAGTGGTGCGACCCGCAAGCAGAACCCTCTGGGAAATACATCATCGCACGGCCGAGACGCCGAGACCAGCAGAGACGCAGTCGGCCGCAGCTTTACGGCAGGCAGCGAGTTTCACACACACACACACACACACACACACACACACACACACACACACACACACAACACACACCACACACACACACACCACACACACGGAGGGACATAATTGATATACCGTGCGGGTGGTGTGGTCAGGAGGGCCACCGGATCCAGGGCCGGGAAGGGGGAGGCCAAGGGTTTACCGCGCCGAGGCGACCGAGGCGACAAGGGATTGAAAATAATCTAGCCGGGTCCCGCTATCGTGCAGGCAGGGCTGCAAGGGCAGGGCGGTGGCGCAGTGCCATGGAATCCAATAACAGGCTCGGGTCGGCACCCCGACAAGCCACGCCCCGCCACGCCGCACCCCGCCACGCCCCGCCACGCCCCGCCGCGCCCCGCCGCGCCCCGCCGCGCCCCGCCCCGCCACACCAAGACCACTCCGACCAACCTGATAATTAATATAAACCCGCCCGAGCGTTGAAGCGCAATAAAGTTATTTCGCGATATAATTGATGATGACGCGAGCGCGCTCGCGGGGATCTGCGAATTGACAGAACACTCGCAGAAGACTGATTCCGAGAGTCGTTATCGTCGCTCTGTCTCTCTCGAAACCTCTACGCTAAGCGAAAGCGAGAGAGACGGCTCTCGGACGCGGTCTGCAGCCGCGGCGACGACGGCGAGAACGCGTCGAGTTCGAAAGGCGTCTTGTCTTGGCCGAGAGACGCCGCTCGCCTCGCAGTCTGGAAAGTTTGTTAGCGGCAGACTGCTGAGCCGAGACTCGTAAACCTCCGCCGTCCCCGGCGCTGCGAGGCTGCGTCCCCCGAGCACCCCTTGAACCGGTGCCCCCGGCAAGTCCTATCTCCGGCCGGGGCCCCAAACGTCCCCCGCAGTCCGCCCTTTACGCCAGCCGGCCGGCAAGGAGTCGGTCTCTGTCTCTCTCGCACCTACACGGGGAGCCCCGTATGCGTGCGAGAGAGACAGAGCGACGAGAACGACTCTCGGAATCAGTCTGCTGCAGCCGGGCCGGCGACTGGCCGATAAATTAACGGTGCGGTGGGGGTGAACGTCCACCGCCTTCAAGTCGTCCTTGCCGGCCGGCGTGGCGGCGTGGACGGCGCGCTGCGGGAGACTGCCCCGCGTCATCACTCACGGCGAGGGATGGAGTGTGAGCCGCGGCATGCGGCAGGACCGGCCGGGACCGGCCGGGACGGACAGGGGCAGTTAGAGGCGACCGTCGGCAAAAAATGCGCCAAAAGGCGAAAAACTTTGGTCCGCCGGGGATGATGTATCGTGCCGCGCTGCCGCGTTGCCTACACTGTGCCCGCGCCGGACGGCGAGTCGCTCCAAAAACCTACTTACGGTTATGTCCGCGGGACGGACCCGCCCCGCCCCGCCCCGCCCCGCCCCGCCCCCGCCCCGCCCCGCCCCGCCCCGCCCCGCCCCGCCCCGCCCCGCCCCGCCCCGCCCCGCCCCGCCTCGCTCCACTCGCGGAATCCCGGCCGTTTGCGACAGAGGGGCGCTGATGGCTTCGCGTCCGCGCGACAGCGTCCAACCCCGGCGCGGCCCCGGCCAGCCAGGCTTCGTCGCTTTGTCTCTCTCGCACTCGTGGGGCGTACCGCAATGGTGCGACAGAGACGGAGCGCTTCGCGGCCCCTCGGGGAGAGAATTCCTCGTCGCCGCAATCCGCCCAATAGCGTGCCGTCAGTTTCGCGGAAAGCAGATGTTCGCTTTAAAGCAGGGTTGGTTGGCCCTGGCCGCCCTGGCGATATCGGCGTGCCTCGCCCGGCCGCGCCCCAGGCGCCCCCGCGGCCCTTTGTGCCGAGGTGGCCGACAGCGTTGTATCCGACTACAAGGTTGTCGGCTCGTGGGTTATTGATTTCATTTGGAGGCAACGGCACCAGGCCCACTGTGAAAATTTGTAGAGGTGTAGCGTACTGGTAACAAAGGCATATGAACTACGGCCTTAAGGGCATAAACATGTTTGACTGCAGTCATCTTTTATGCTCCTGCAGGGCGTGAAACATTTAATACCCTTCGGAAGGGCAAAACTTTAATGCATTTTCAAGGGCATGATTTTAATGCCCTAGGGCATTTTTAAGCTGTTTCCGGGGCTTAAATCGTTTACGCCCGAGGGGGCAAAAACTCGCGCAATCATGTGTACACGGCCCCCGAAATCACACGCGAATCATTGAGAATCACGCGAAATCAAGCAATCCGAAATCAGCCAAAATCACTAAAATCGACCGAAATTAGGCAGAATCACACGAAACCAGGCCAAATCAGTCCGAAATCATTTCTTGCCGAACACAATCACACGCAATCACGCTTAACATCACCCTGGTGCGTCGCGAAATAAGGCAAAATCAGCCATGAAATCAATTAAAACCATGCGCAATTATTGCGTTTTCCGAATTATGTGTACACGAAAATCCCGAGTTTTTGCCCCCTCGTTTACGCCCTTTAAGGCCACAGATGCGTAGTTTTAATGCCTGTGTTTCACCAGTGCTGCAGTAGATGACTTTTTATGAAATGATGAAAACTCCGTCACTTGGACGAAAGTAGAATTCGGAATTAATGACACTTTGATCTCAAACAAAAATGCTGTTTATTTGAAATTTAAATACTGCAATTATTGCAGTATTTAAATTTCAAATAAAAAGCATTTTTGTCACTCATTGATGATATTTTCATAACGAATTTATGACAGTCGGTGAGAGGGAGAGGGACAGCTGGCGTTACATAAAAGGTGGACAGGGCCCCATCACAGTGCGGATTCATCGTCATCGAATAAAATTTACGTACAAATAACGTAACTCGTCCTTGCTCCCACTTCGAGGAACTTAATATTTAAGTAGCACATCGTCGGAAACCGTCCGGATCGCTACGTTGGCGGGCGGGGGTGAGAAGAGCGTGGGCCGCCCACGCTTGAAGCACAGCAAGTCTCGCACCTACTCCCTCCCGCCCGTCCGCGCACACAATGAGTTTGAAAACTTGCCCTGAAACGCGCTCTACACAACGAAAGGGCTGAAAGGATCGAGCGGGGCGTGGGCGTGGGGCGCCCGGAGAAGGACGACGGGGAGGTTCCGTTCACAGCGTCGCGTCGGACAGTGGGCCAGAAGACCGGTGGAGGTGGTCAAAGTCTCGGACAGGTTTTGAGCTTCAGAGTCGCTAAATGGGACTCGAACTGAACGTGTGACCCCACCAATGGATTGCTCTCCAAACGAGGAATCCATTGGTGGGGTCACACGTTCGATTCGACTGCTGTTTAGCGACTCTGGAGGAGTTCTAAACGCGTCTGGAATTTTGGCCATTCCCACCGGTCTTCTGGCCCACTGTACGTCGATGCTCGAATCTTGACATTCGGCGCAAAAGGCTGGGACAAATCCCTGCTCTCGCTAACGGGGTCTTGTAAGGGAAGGCCCTTCGGAGGCGTGTAGGCCGTAGGCCTCGGCCCCTCGGTCACCAAACAAAAGCCAAGGGGAGCCTAAGAAGAGCCGACAGGCCGAGCCGAGCCGAGCCGAGCCGAGCCGGGACCGGCTAACCCGACGACACAGCCGGAGACAACCCAGACCACACGAGAACGTCGCTTGTCAACCCGCTCGCAACGGGGGCGGTACAGGGCTGTACGAGTAAAGGACAAAGAGCCTGCTCGCCGCGCGCTGTAGAACAAGGACGAAAATGTTTTGGAGGAGGTCCGAAAAGGGGACGGGAGGGACGGAGGAAAACTCCGATACGCACTGTGGAAACTTCCGTACGGACATTCAACAGAGTCCCAAGGGAAAGAATCCCTATGATTTTAAAGGGACGGTCCCTTTCCGAAGGGGCCAAGCCCTATCCGAGAAAGGGCTTGGCCCCTTGGAAGGGGCTCAGCCATAGGGCCTGGCCCTATCAAGTTAGGGTTCGGCCCTATGGACTTGGGGACCGGCCCTAAGAGCTTAGGGATCGGTCCTTTGGACTTGGGGATCAGCCCTATGGACTTGGGGATCCGCCCTCCAGACCACAAGGCCCTATAAATCAGCCTGCCAGTTAGGCAAAATGTTGGTGATTTAGGTAGGCAAACCCGCTACACACCTATTAAGGGTATCTTGTAAACGGCTTTAGATAGAGTGTCGGCGACACTACCATTGTTATCAGCGTCAAAAGTTTACGCAGGAAGCGTTTCTTATATTGTACATTGATGTTCAAGAGGTAGATGTTTTGAACACTTGAACACTCCGCGGCACGTCCCTAACTAAAGGGATATTTCGCGGCCCTTTGACAAGGGGACTGTCCCTATCCATAGGGGCTGGTCCTTCCATGGGGACCGTCCCTATATCAAGGGGCCGCGAAATATCCCTTTAGTTAGGGACGTTAGGGATTTTTTCCCTTGGGTGTGGGCACGAAAACAAGTAGAAGTTTCACACTCACGCAGGTCCGCCGTAGTCCCCATAAGGACCTGATGTAAACTGGTTGGGTACAGAAATTACGTGGCTGGAGGAGTACGGGCGCTCCACTTTCTCAACCTTCATTGACGTTGTTTGCGCATACATAGAATTTCGTTAAAAAGCTTTACCGAGGGGGTAACGACTGGTAAATTTCGTGTCAGCCGGATTACGGATTACCCCGGATTATCTCCAAATCACCTCCAGATTACACCAAAAAAATCCTGGATTATCCCGGATTACCCCGGATACCTCTCAATTTACTATCAGCCGGATTCCCGGAGTCGTTACCCCCTCGAGCTTAACAGATTTGTCAAAACAAAAGTGATAATAATGTTTCTAAAACAAATACGCAATAATGCGTAGGAACGTGAATAAGTTACTAAACAAAAACTCTGCACGACGTGTCTGAGAGTGCAAATTATGGCTGACCCGACATTCTTTCACGCAATTTTTCTGTCCTTTCTTAATGCGGTGCACGCATAATCCAATCCCACTGCTCTCTGTGCAGGGCTGGCTTGTCGGCCAGCTGTCCAGGAAAGCCCAGATCAAAGTGATGCGATGCTCGTCGGGGACTGTACAGCCGTTTAATGGGGTTAAACGAACGGGAAGTAAGCGGAAAAGAGGGGGAGGGGCAACCCCTCGCGACGGCATGCAAACTAAGTAGCCTCGCGAAGGCCGGTTCTGGCAACTCCGGTGAAAGGGGGTGAGGGGGTTGCAGAGGAGTGACGCTCTAGAACACCTCCATAGCCACCATGCACTGACTTTGTCCCTTCCAACTTTTCACGGCCCCCTTTCGCTTTTCCTCGTCTGTGTTTTTATTTTCCCGCGTCGCCGTGGCGTTGACGAGGGTGCACTCGCGACAAACAGCCGAACGGCGCTTTCGTCGCTCCGTCTCTCTCGCACCCCGACGGGGCGCCCCGTGAGTGCGAGAGAGACGAAGCGACACAGCGGCGTCTCGGAATCGGCCCGTTGCGGCTGCAGCGCCGCGTCGCGGTGTTGATTCACCCGGCGCTGGTCCCGGAGACAGACTCCGAGACGCGTTTCGTCCGTCTCTATAGTATGAGGGAAGCCCCATGAGTGCGAGAGAGACACAGCGACGAAAACGACCCTCGGAATCAGTCTGCAGGCTGCTACATGCCGCTGAGTGCACAGCGGCGAGGCGAACTCGAAAACTCCAGCCACTTCCTTTTCCCCGGTTTTCGCCCCCGGTGCTCTCTATCCCACGGGGCGACAGCGCGCACGTGACGGGAGCCTCTCCCACGGTGCAGCGACGGCGACACACACACACACACACACACACAGACACACAGACACACACACACACACAAACAAACACACACACACACACTCACACACTCACACACGCCTTTTCCTCTTCCAGCCTCATTGCGAGTGCAGCGGCGATAGCCAAGTTTGGGGACGGTGTGCGGCCTTGGGTCTTTCTCATTGAGTTTTGCCCGAGCGCATACGCCTCTTGCTTGACTGCACCGCACACGTATGTTGACTTTCCGCGAACCGCGTGGTCGCGTCTGGCGCCAGATAAGTTGGCGAAAACTACCTCTACTATGAACCACATTGTCGCGAAATGGTTGCCTGCCAAATTTCTGCCTTAGAGGCAATTTTTTGATAGCGATATTGCTTTGAGGTAGGCTTCGGTTGGCAACCCTTTCGACTCGGGTTGCATAGTGGCCGTTTTTACTGCCGCCTACTACACTTAAAACCTAAGTGTGTACTCACAGCACACTTGGGTGTTCTCCACGTGTGTTCGCGGGGGCACACTTAAGTTTCAATTGTGTGGCGGTCGGTGGCGGCACTGGGAAACGTGGAACCGCCGTGTCGAGCTCGGTCGGTGGTGAGTCGAGCCCTCTTCTCGGAACCAACTTCCATCAAGTCAAGACGACTGTCAATTTGGAGCCTAAGACAACCCTGTCCTCCCAGGACCACCGCGCGCGCGCGGTTTTGGCTAGACAAACTTGTAGCGGGGACTCACTACGCCGCAGTGTCTTGTCTCTGCCCCGCCCCCGCCCCGCCCCGCCCCGCCCCGCCCGCAGCCACCCTTCCGCCGCCTTAGCTGCTGTGTCTGGGCGGCGCGCCTCGCCGTGCCCCGCCGCGCTCGGCAGCGTGCTTATTCAATCTGAAAAGGAGATTTCGCTGCCGATACCGCCACGCTGCTAAAAGTTTGTCACCGTGTTTCGCCGTTGTTGGCGTTGTTTCGCCGAGGCGGGGGCCCCGGGCAAAGAGGAAGGGGAGGGGTCTCATTCAGCGCGCAGGAAGTTGACTGGAGAACAAACAAAATTATACGTGCGCTGTTATTATGTTTTGAAATAAAGTTCAAACTATTTTCTTTTTGCCGCTGTCTTGCTGAAAACTGTGAGGCATTCGTACTAAACAGCGTTTCTAGCATGGGATTCCACTGAAAAACCAAACCACACCAACTGGTGTGGTAAAATTGGTGCCATTTATCAGTTGGTGTGGTGTAGACCACACGAAACGTGGCCAAACATGGTCTAGACCACACCAACTGATGCGGTCAAAATGGCACCCGTTTGACCACACCAGTGGTGCGGTCTAGACCACGTTTGGTTTTTCAGTGTCCCCTATGAAGATACACTGTTCTGTCAGATGATCACTCAACTAATGGTGGACATCTCTTCTGCCGCAGCGCCCCGCCCACCAAGCTCCGCGCCAAGGTGGTCATCGCGTGCATCTGGTTCCTGTCGCTGGCCATGGCCACCCCGATGGCGGTGGGGCTGCGCGTCGTGCAGATCCCGGACGACACCGTGGTCACCGTGGTGACGGACATCGGCGTGTCGGCGCTGGCGCAGGCCACCGTGCCCACCTGGAACTACGCGGACGCCGACACGCCCTTCACCAAGCCCTTCTGCGACCTGGAGGGCATGTCCGCCAACACCATGCTCGTCTACCGCATGGTAATCAAGTGTAAAACATTATGGAGAAGTGATGACCTGACGACGTGCATGTCCACCAACACTCTAAATGTTGTACAGTAAAGATTCTCCATATTATAAATGTTCCATATTATTGTGGTGCAGCTGACTTCATAACACACCATTAAGGATTCACTGCGCCTTATTTTGACGAATTTCGTTGGTATTATGGAGAAAATCTCCACCATAATATGTTAGTGCAGCCTTTCGTCGCAAGACATTTACAGTGAACACCATGCTCGTCTACCGCGTGGTAGTGTAAAGAAGTGACGCACAGTGGGCCAGAAGACCAGTGGAGGCGGTCAAAATTCCGGACGCGTTTTGAGCTCCAGAGTTGCTAAATGGAATTTGAACCGAACGTGTGGCCCCACCAATGGATTGTTCTCCGAACGAAGAATCCATTGATGAGGTCACACGATCCGCTAGAGTCCTGTTAAGCGACTCTGGAGCTCAAAACGAGTCAGGAGTTTTAGCCGCCGGCGCCGGTCTTCCGGCCCACTGTGTGACGGTCTGAGAGCATGTCCGCCACCGCCACGCTCCTCTACCGCATCAGTGTAGCGCCGTGACGACCTGGCGGCGAAAACGCGAAAACGGCACTGTAACACAATCACCGCCTAATTGGCTTCAAGGGTGACTTTGGCGTGACTTTGGAGGCAGACCGTGGACAGGGACGGGGCGGTCGGGGGTGGGGGACGCCACCTCTTGGATACCCTCAGAGCTTCGCGTCTTAAGACGACGCACTTCTTTGAAAATACGGAGACGTCGCTTTAAATTTCAGATCCTTTGCCCGCGCCCACCTGTTACAATGCTAATCAACTTAAAACCGATCTGAAATTGAGTTGGGGGTGGGGTTGGGGGGGGGGGGGGGTGGAGGCCACCTTTGTCCTTTTGTGCGAGCAGGCTGGCCGGGTGTCGTTCGGGGTGACGGCCACGGCACTGTAGGTCCAACGAGCCAGATGGCATCGCAGTTGCTTCGAAATGATTACCCAAAGTTGTAACCGTGGGACGAGATGAATAATGCATCGTGACCGTGTTCCTGTTGCTCCGGGACCTTGTCCGTGTCCAGCCCCGGGGACCTTGTTGAACCCCCCTGGAAATGTCGAGCGATTCCGCTGCTTGCATCGCTCGCTCTGTCTCTCTCGCACTCATGGAGTGAGCGGTAAGGGCGTCAGGGAGAGTGAGAGAGAGAGAGAGAGAAAGAGAGAGAGAGAGCAGTGGCGGATCCAGAGTCTGCCCAAGGGGGGGGGGGCAAAGTAGCACTTTTTGCCTACTTACAGGGGCAAATTGGTGCTTTTTGCCTACCTTTCAGGCGGCTATCTAGGGGTCAGGGGGGGGGGGGGCAATTGTCCTTTTGCCCCCCCCTGGATCCGCGCTTGAGAGAGAGAGAGAGAGAGAGAGAGAGAGAGAGAGAGAGAGAGAGAAGGCAGCGGAGTCGCTCGACTGACGCTGCCGATGCTGCTGCAGGTGCTGGTGGTGGTGCAGTACCTCACGCCGCTGGTCATCATCTCGCTCGTGTACACCCGCATGGCGCACCGGCTGTGGGGGTCCAGGGCGCCCGGCAACGCGGAGGACTCCAGGGACGCCAACCTGCTGAGGAACAAGAAGAAGGCAAGGACCGCATCACGAAACATATCAATCAAAACAAAAAACAAAAACAAAAGGTCAACTATGAAATAAAGGCATAATTGATGCCCTTTCAGGGCCTAAACGATTTTCGCCCTGTGACGGCGCAAAATCGTTTCATGTCCTTGGGAAGTAGTGTGTGAGCTGGTATAGGACATCTAGGCCAAAATTTTGATGCTAAGGCATTACCTTACTGCTCTTTCTGTCAGCTCGTAGTTTTGTTGGGTTTGTTTCACGACTGTTTTTGAATCTAATAGCAGTCCATGTGCAGGTCATCAAGATGCTGGTCATCGTGGTGGCGCTCTTCGCCGTGTGCTGGATGCCCCTGCAGACCTACAACTTCCTGCACATGGTGTACCCCGACATCAACAGGTAGGCTATTGAGATTAGTGAGGCATTGTAGCAAATGTTTATTTTCCTACGTTCAACGCGTATGCATGAAAACTCTCCTCCCCCAAAAAGAAACAAAAACAATACGACAATGTACACAGGGAAAATAAGTCAAGTGTGAACTCAGCACAAGGCAAAAATGGTTCCTGGTTTTTCCCTGGTAATCTCTGGAAAATTGCCAATGCTTTAACTAAAGGTGACCTGGAAAAACCAGGAACCGCCTTTGCCGTGCACTCACCTACGTCCAACGAAGCCAATGTGTGTACTCAGCACACAATTAAAGGCTCGAAGTGTAATCAGTACACAAGGTTTTTTTATTGCGGTGGCAATAGAGGCGTAAAAGCACACTGATGGTTGTTTTTGCCGTCGTTCCCAGGTACCGCTACATCAACATAATCTTCTTCTGCTGCGACTGGCTGGCCATGAGCAACAGCTGCTACAACCCCTTCATCTACGGCATCTACAACGTGAGTCCCACGGAGTCGCAGCAAAACAAGAAGGAGGAGCGGGCCGGGCCGCGAAAACGACCGCGGGGTCACAGATCGCTTTATGGGACTTACTGCGATTTCCCTCGCAAGATACGGCAACCGGAGCGAGGGCGGGTCCAGGAGGGGGGGGGGGCAAAGTGCAGCCATTTCGTCCACGAAAACAGGGCGGCGGACGGGACGTGGCGGAGGGGATGGGGAGGCGGGTTGGGGCGAGTTGGGTAGTATTGGCCTTCCCTCCCGGGCCGGGCCGCCGCACAGTGGGCCAGAAGACAGGGGGAGGCGGCCAAAACTCTAAACGCGTTTTGAGTTCCAGAGTCGCTTAACATGCCTCGAACCGAACGTGTGACCCCACCAATGGATTGCTCTCCAAACGAGGAATCCATTGGTGGGGTCACACGTTCGGTTCGAGTCCTATTTAGCGACTCTGGAGCTCAAAACGCGTCCAGAAGCTTGTCCGTCTCCACCGGTCTTCTGGCCCACTGTGGGCCGGGCCCCGTGCCGCCGCCGGGCACAAGGGGAAGTTGATTTGGTGTGCTTGTCGCCCGGCTGGCCTTCGCCCCGTGCTCATCCCCTTTCATGCCAAGCTGCTGCTTGCTGCGGTCTCACTCCGAGAGTCGTCGCTCTGTCTCACTCGCACTCATGGGGCGCCCCGCATAGGTGCGAGAGAGACAGAGCGACGAGAACGACTTTTGGAATCAGACGACTGCCGGCTGATTCCGAACTGTGCTTTCGTCACGGTGTCTCTCTCGCTCGCATGGAGCGGCCGGAGAGTGTGCGAGAGACGCAGCGACTGATCGGAATCAATCCGCCTGCCGCTCCACGGGAAAAGAAGGCCTCGCTGCACGTGGAGATGGAGAGCCTCGCGGAGAACAAAGCCCTGCGCCCTCCGCCCGCCGCTCCACGGGAAAAGAAGGCCTCGCTGCACGTGGAGATGGAGAGCCTCGCGGAGAACAAAGCCCTGCGCCCTCCGCCCGCCGCTCCACGGGAAAAGAAGGCCTCGCTGCACGTGGAGATGGAGAGCCTCGCGGAGAACAAAGCCCTGCGCCCTCCGCCCGCCGCTCCACGGGAAAAGAAGGCCTCGCTGCACGTGGAGATGGAGAGCCTCGCGGAGAACAAAGCCCTGCGCCTCCGCGCGCTCCACGGAAAAGAAGGCCTCGCTGCACGTGGAGATGGAGAGCCTCGCGGAGAACAAAGCCGCGCCTCCGCGCCGCCACGGGAAGAGGCCTCGCTACGTGGAGAGGAGGCCTCGGGAACAAAGCCCTGCGCCCTCCGCCCGCCGCTCCACGGGAAAAGAAGGCCTCGCTGCACGTGGAGATGGAGAGCCTCGCGGAGAACAAAGCCCTGCGCCCTCCGCCCGCCGCTCCACGGGAAAAGAAGGCCTCGCTGCACGTGGAGATGGAGAGCCTCGCGGAGAACAAAGCCCTGCGCCCTCCGCCCGCCGCTCCACGGGAAAAGAAGGCCTCGCTGCACGTGGAGATGGAGAGCCTCGCGGAGAACAAAGCCCTGCGCCCTCCGCCCGCCGCTCCACGGGAAAAGAAGGCCTCGCTGCACGTGGAGATGGAGAGCCTCGCGGAGAACAAAGCCCTGCGCCCTCCGCCCGCCGCTCCACGGGAAAAGAAGGCCTCGCTGCACGTGGAGATGGAGAGCCTCGCGGAGAACAAAGCCCTGCGCCCTCCGCCCGCCGCTCCACGGGAAAAGAAGGCCTCGCTGCACGTGGAGATGGAGAGCCTCGCGGAGAACAAAGCCCTGCGCCCTCCGCCCGCCGCTCCACGGGAAAAGAAGGCCTCGCTGCACGTGGAGATGGAGAGCCTCGCGGAGAACAAAGCCCTGCGCCCTCCGCCCGCCGCTCCACGGGAAAAGAAGGCCTCGCTGCACGTGGAGATGGAGAGCCTCGCGGAGAACAAAGCCCTGCGCCCTCCGTCCGCGCCCCACACAATACCGGCAAATAAACCGACCTGTCTGCAGTGCCGCCAGTGGTCTCATTCCAGAGGGTCGCTCTGTCTCTGTCGCACTCGTGGGGAGCCTCGTAGGGGAGCGAGAGAGACAGAGAACCGGAATCGCTCGGCAGGCGACTCGACCCCGTGGGGGGAAAACTAAAACTCGGTCCGACCAACCAGTCCAACTCGGCGGCATCGCTGTATGATTTACCGTGCGCCGCCGCCGTGCCTCGCCGCGGCGGTGTGTCTTCATCAGCAAGCCTCGCAGCGCGGAGCGGAGCGCCGTGGAGGTAGGCCGTCCCGTTGCACTGCGGTGCGCGGCAGCACGGGGGTTGCCTACGTGGCAGGCGCTCTACAGTGGGCGCACACGTTTTCACCTCTATTCTCTTTTCATGGCGCTCGAATCTGACGCACGACGGTTCCGATGGATTCATCGCTCGAAATGGGATCCATCGATAACCTCATGTGTTTGATTCACGCCCCGTTTCAAAAAACTGCGTCCACCAAACGTCTGTGTGGTCTTCTCAGTAAGCTCGCCCTTAGAGGCGTCTTCTTACTTTTGCACGAGTCTTGAAGTGTGTCCTTGAAAGAGCCTGCACTTCTAAGTGTGCACTCAGCAACCAGGCACTTGGGGATGCATGCACTGTATGAAAAATTGTTGTCACTTTACGACAAAAAAATTGATGATATTTTTTCCACTTTCAAATGACGACAATGCAATCACAAATTGATGACATTTTTATCAAAGGTCCTATACTTATTTCGTGGGCGTGACGACAACGTCATAAATTGTTTTCATGACATTGTTGCAAGTAAAATTAGCCATGAAATTGTCATCAAGTGACGACTCAAATTTTCACAGTGCGCTCCATCCCTTCACCGAGGAAGCATGCACCCCGAATTGTGTGGGTTGCTGAGTGCACGCACACTGCGTGCCCATTCAAGCACACACATCGAGGCACCTCGCAGGTCGTGCTTGCAAACACATGCGCCTCGAGGAGTGTACTGAAAGCACACATAAGTTCTGTGTGCAGGTCAAACCGCGCGTCCACCGACATTGGTCTTCCTGCCGCCAGTGTGCTCACCTCCCTGTTGTTGTTGCAGGAGAAGTTCCAGCGCGAGTTCCGGCTGCGGCTGGCGGTGTGCCTGCGGCGCTCGCCGGCGGGCCGCGGCCAAATCCCCCGCGAGCTGAGCAACCTGGACTCGGGGCGCTGGGACTGGCCGCAGAACGCGCGGCACGCCACGCTGGCGCTGCACCGCGAGCCCGCCATGGAGAAGCAGGGCGACCGCGTGATGACGGGGTCGGCGTCGGGGCTGTCCGTCATCACCGGCACCACGGCGCTGTCGCCATAGCGGTCGCTTCGTGGGACCAACGGCGGCGCCGCCAACGGGTCCCACGACGTGTACCGCCACCGGCTGTCGCCGTCCTGGGCGTGGCAGGAGCGCGCCGACCTGGAGGCCATCGTGCACAGCGCCATGCACGGGCCCTCGCCGACGCACCGCGCGCACGCCCGCGGCTCCCTGGCCTCTGGCGAGACCGAGGCCTGAAGCCCTGGTGTCCGCCGAGACCGAGGACTTGAAGCCCTGGCCTCTGGCGAGATCGAGGCCTGAAGCCCTGCACTCCGCCGAGACCGAGGACTTGAAGCCCTGGCCTCTGGCGAGATCGAGGCCTGAAGCCCTGCACTCCGCCGAGACCGAGGACTTGAAGCCCTGGCCTCTGGCGAGATCGAGGCCTGAAGCCCTGCACTCCGCCGAGACCTACGCCTGAAGCCCTGGCCTCTGCCAACACCGACGCCGGATCTAGACTCCGTCGTGATCGAGGCCTGAAGCCTTGTACTCCGCCATCACCGTGGCCTGAAGCCCTGGCCTCTACATGCTGAGACCGAGGCCTGAAGCCCTGGCCTCTACATGCTAAGACCGAGGCCAGAAGCCCTGTCCCCTACCAAGGCCTGAAGCCAGTGGTGGGTCCAGCCGTCTTGAGGGAGGACAAAGTAGCACATTTTGCCTACTTTACACACTTTTCTTTTACGAGAATGTGACGCCATTTTCGTTAGTATGCGAATTTTGTCACGTTCGTTTGAATACGTCACATTCGTTTAAACGTCGATCCATGCTCGATATGTCCACCACTGACTAAAATTATGCACAATTAAAGTGTAGTGAGTGTCCCAGTGCATTCGGCCATTCTATTTGCCTACTTAGGCGTCTGTCGACTGAAGTGCCTACACAGGTAAAATTTAGGTGAATGTGACTGTTTGTACGCTGGGCAAATGTGGCACTCCCCTCGTCAGCGCTCAAACGAATGTAAAATCCGCTTTAAACAGCCATGTAACGTTCAAACGAATGTGACACTGTACACTGAGAATGAAAGAGTCATGATCATGACTAAGATTTTGGGCGAGGAATTCCTTATTACCCAAATTTGGGTGAGGAAGGTTTCCTCGCCCAAATTGGGTGAGGAAGGTTTCCTCACCCAAATTTGGGTCATAATACTGTGGAGCCATATAGGCAGCTGATACACCCTTCCTCACCCAATTTTGGGCGAGGAAGCTTTCCTCACCCAAATTTGGGCGAGGAAACGATCCTCGCCCAAATTTGGGTGATAAAGTATACCTCGCCCAAAATTGGGTATTGATCATGACTTTTTCATTCTCAGTGTATTCAAACCAATGTGATACCAGATTAACATTATTTCAACGAATATGACGTCACGTCGCTGACGCAGTGCAGGGGGAAAATGTTGCCGTTATAGCCTCACCTTTCAGAGGGCTATCTAGAGGTCAAGGCCCGAGAGGCCATTGGTCGTGCCTGCCTGAGGCGCACCGGAACGCTCGGCATTCACAGACAATCTCCCGAGATGAGTTTTAATCTAAGTTAGGGAAAAAATACTGCAAGAATTAGTCCTGCCGTCGTGTCTCTCTCGAGTAAATGTATTACGCTAGTTAAGTGCGTTCTTCGAGGGACGCGGCCCCTTAGTCAAAATAATGATCTCTCCGTGTAATTATCGCTTTAGATGGCCCTCGTCCCTTTCTTCCCTTTTTTCCTGCGAGTGCAGACAAAGGGCGACGAGTCTGTCAGCGGCGCTAAATTAGCCAGTCGGCTGTCTCACGCCCCCGCGTCGCTACGCGTCGGAGCTCATTTAAGCGACATTTGTGCGGAAAAACGGACTGCGGGGGTGGGGGTGGGGGAGGCATCGCTTGCAACTACACGACAGCGAGGCGCGACAGCTGCAACGTGCAGGAGCGAAAGGGGCGGGGGCGTTGTTAAAGCTCCACTTGTTTCCTGAACCCATTATTTCCGCGTCGAATAAATTTGTAGCCGGAGCTAGGCTTCGTTCACTGGTAAAACTAAGGTGTGATAATGTACACTGGTAAAACTAAAGCGTCACTCTATACTTGAGTCAAGCATAAAGTTACGCTTGAAGTCGTTACGCTTGAAAACAAGCATACTCTTGAAATTAACCCATGCATTTAGATAGGGGGAATCTTGGCGATTGAGCCTGTTACGCTTGATTTCAAACGTAACCTGATTACGCTTGAAAACAGAGGGTAATACTATGCTTTAGTTTTACCAGTGTAGCGCCCGTAATGAAGCGTACGGTCTGCATGACCTTCTTGAAGTGAACAGCAGCTCTCTTTTCCTCCTATATCTAAATGCTGCATAGCAGGAATTGCCTTGAAGAAGGATGAGAGGTCTTCAAGCGTAGTTACATGCTTGAATGAAGCGTATGCTTTAGTTTCACCAGTGTTCTCTCTGCCACGGTTGTGCCACTTTCTTTGTACCCCTTGGATGTAAAACGGGTTTCACAGTGTGTCGCTATTGATGTTTCCCTTCCCTATGAGTGTCCAATTTTTTTTCACCTTGATTCTAGTTAAGAGGTGGTGACCGCATTTTACTCTTTCGGAAAATAAGTAGACTTATTTTTGTATTCGTTTGTAGTGATAGTCAACAATGTTTGCTTAAGTGTGTTGCAGCTCATGTCTCTTGTAGATTCATCCTTCCGTTATACCTTTTTTGGAAAAATGCAGTTCTGAACCAGCAGGTATAAATCTCCTGTAATCTTCCACAGCAGGCTAGTCTGCTCGCCAGGGCTTAAAATTTTGGATGCCTGATGTACAAATTACTTAACTCTTAGTTTCCATGACTAAGACTGACTTAGTCACAGCCTTTTGGGCCCCCTCATAGCTGCGTGGCTGACTTCATAATATTTTTAAAAAATTTCAAATACTAACTCTGTGTGTGTTTCGCGTAAGCCTCTGTGTGTAGCGAAATAATGTATTTTGGGTTGGTGACGCGTGGTGACTGAGATGGGAATGTGATTGTGATTTCGTTGTGATTTGAGTGACGAATTTTTACATAATTTGTAACGAGTTTGTAGGGATATGTAAATAAAACCTCGCTCCAAAATAACAAAAAAATTCAATTCATTAATTAAGGGTAGTATACAAAATTCTCCTTGTCACAGTCTTGTATCACGCAGGATAAAGTAGTATAAAAGTTGTTTCCAAAATACTGAAACGCCGCCTTGGCCCTGCAAGCACAAACGCGGCATGGCACGGGACAAGATTCACTTCATCTTCTCCCCTGAAATTCATCTTCCAGTGGAGTGGAGGATGCCTAGAAGACGTTGGCCCCGGGCACGGTGAAGGTGACGGGTTGGGCGGTCTTCACCAACGTCCACGCGCCAGAGGTTCCCACGGCGACGGCCACCCCGAGGATGCCATTGGTGGCGGCTGAAAAAGAAAACAGATTTCTTCAGAATACAGCACAGGTAGGACCCAAGTGTAGCTGCATGCATACAACTACGCTTGGAGACTTTAGGCTTGGACTCAAGCGTGGAAAAGAATTTCTCCCATGCATTTAGATAGGCGCTCGGATAGGCGGTATAGGAGCGGACCGTGGATCATCGTGAGCGCCTCTGCGCTAGGCAGCCCATCGTACGCGGCACAGCCCGGCACGTTGGGTTGCCTAGCCCGGAGGGATACGGAGACGCAAGCCTCACCATTCGCATAAGATCGCATAAGATGCACTGGTAGAAAAACTAAAGCGTCGTTTTACAATCAGTTTTCAAGCATAATCCGCTCAAATTACCCTAGTGAAAAGCATCGGGGATTTTCTTTTTGTGTTCATTCATCACAAGTGCTACGTCTTCAAACGTCTGTCCATGCTTCACTCGAGCATAAAGTTCCACTTTAGTTTTTCTAGACAACTCGCTGCTCACCTGCGACGGAGCTCACGATGGTGGCGGCGTCCTTGGAGTGCACCAGGACGAGGTTGCCGTCCAGCGCGACGCCCGCGGCGCCGAAGGTGGCGTCGTCGACGGCGAGGAGCACACTGGCACCGGCAGCACCGACGGTACCTGCAGAGGGAAGTTGCACTTATTACAAAGCGACCGGCTTTCGTTGACGGATTTTGCAACAAGCGCTGCACTGCCAAACCAAGTGTTCAGAATTCCACACTTCTTGGAGCGGATTTCTCCGTTCACACTTTGGAAGTGTGGAGCCTGCAGTCTGTACACTTTAAGTGTGGAATAGCTCAAGAGCTGCTAAGCACGGTGCGAACGCCGAGAACTCCACACTTTTAGCGGGAAGACTGCAAACTCCGCACTTCCAAAAGTGCCGAGACAGAAAATTCTACACTTCCACAGTCCGCGTTTTACTCTGCGGAGTTCCCCCCACTCTGTGTCACAGTGTGCTGACGTACCGGTGAGCACGTGGCCCTGCACGGTGACGCGCAGGCAGGCGGGCTCGGTGGGCCGCTCGTCGTGGGAGGCGGCGAGGACGAGGCCGGCCTGCTTGGCGATGGAGGGCGCGTTCACCAGGTTGACGCCGGGCTTGGCGACGATGCCGGCCGCCACGGGGGTGGCGAGGAAGGCCTTCTTGCTGAGGGCGGCGCCGGCGGTCTGCACGGCGACCTGGGCGCCGGCGGTCTTGCCGGCGAGCAGCCGCGCGGCCAGGACGCCGAGGCGCTGCGCCAGCGCGATCCAGGGGCCGTTCTCGGCCACCAGGGCGGCGCCCAGCACCGGGGCGTTCACCACGCCCGTCACGGAGTACGGCGACGACGGGTTGGCCAGCGCCACGAACTGCTCCGCCACCTCCACGGCGACGCGCATCTGGGCCTCGCTGGTGGAGGCGCCCAGGTGCGGCGTGGCCACCACCTTGGGGTGCTCGATGAGCGCGCGCGTCACGGGGGCCTTGGGGGGCTCCTCCGCGAACACGTCGAGCGCCGCGCCGCCGCAGCGGCCGTCCTGCAGCGCCTTTAGCAGGCCCTCCTCGCAGATGATGCCGCCGCGGGCCACGTTCACCACCTTGACGCCCTTCTTGCACTTGGTGAACACCTTGTCATTGATCATGTCTGGAACGAGAAGCAATCGAGATGAGTCATGGCGTTTAATGCACTAAAATCGTCACATTTTGCATGATGTTTCGTTTCCAATCAAGCAGAATGCACCTACTTCGTGTCTGAGGGATGAGCGGCGTGTGCACGGTGATGTAGTCCGCCACGGGCCAAATCTGCTCCAACTCCATCTTCTCCACGTTGAAGGCGGCCGCATCTTCCCGGGACACGATGGGGTCGAATCCGACGGTCTGTGTAGAAATAATCTTCATTTTCAACAAGTCGACAGGAACAACAGGAACAACGGGAAACAGAGAAACAATTGATTATTCGATTGGAAGTGGACGACGCTTTCTGCACCGGCGTCTGTTCGCCGAAGGAGGCACAGGGGCACTCCCGTAAGCTACAGCGAGGAGAAAGCAGAGAAGACCACCACCACACCAGCCACACGCACCAGGTTACATTAGTTTGTTAGTTTTTTCCAACCTCATGTGAGGCAGAACAGGTCTAACGTTACCTCTCTCGTCACTCATGGACAGTCTTTAGCTCGGACTCTGTAGGAACGAGGTGGGCACCCTCGGACCCTGGTCGGTTCGAAGAAGGCCAAGCACACCGTGAAATAGGAAAACAACGTCTCGTCACAGTTTTTAGACCGCGACACTCCCTCGGCAACTCACCTTCATGCCGTAGGCTTGCATGCGAGTGGCCACCTCCCTGCCGATGCGGCCCAGCCCCAGCACGGCCAGGGTCTTGCCCTGCAGCTCCGAGCCGGAGTACAGCTTGCGGTCCCAGCGGCCGGCCTTGAGCGACTGGCAGGCCACGCTCACGTTCCTAGATAACAAAAAAGAGGAAAAAGTAAGTCAAAGTCAGAACATTTACAGTTTTAAATTTAAAAAAATTATTCATAGTCTTAAAGTCTTACGAAGAAAACTAAAATCATTTCTTTATGAGACAGATCATTTTGTTCATAAACATAAAGCCGTTTCTCTCTCTATTTTCAAAGTAAACAAAAAAATCGTAGCATAAACCCAGTTTGTTCATATTACTATGTTATTACTGCTAAATTCACTGTAAGAAATTTTGAGAGCAGGTGGCGCTGGCAAGCGCAGATCCACCAAGAGGAGGGGCAGAGGGTCACTTTGACCCCATCCCCTCTTTTCCCCCTCTAGCCGCCTGGAAGACAGGCAAATTACATCCCTACACCCCCAAAGTAGGCAAAAGTACGGAAATTTTCCCCCCCTTCTCAAGCCGGCTCTGGATCCGCCACTGAGGGCTGGCCGTCTTACCTGGCGAGGTCAGCGATGAGGGCGCAGGTGAGCTCGCAGGCGCTGATGGAGTTGCCTCCCGGTGTGCTGAAACACGAACACGAGGGTAAGGTCAGGGCGAGCGTGCCGTAAGGGTGAGGGCAACGTATCACGTCGCGTCAGCAGGCTCATTCCGAGAGGGAGGTGGTCCCTCTCTCTCTCTCTCTCTCTCTCTCTCTCTCTCTCTCTCTCTCTCTCTCTCTCTCTTTTTCTTCTCTCTCTCTCTCCTCTCCCTCTCTCTCTCTCTCTCTCTCTCTCTCTCTCTCTCTCTCTCTCTCTCTCTCTCTCTCTCTCTCTCTCTCTCTCTCTCTCTCTCTCTCTCTCTCTCTCCCTCTCTCTCTCTCTCTCTCTCTCTCTCTCTCTCTCTCTCTCTCTCTCTCTCTCTCTCTCTCTCTCTCTCTCGCCCTCTCTCTCATTAGGCGTCCCGTATCGGTGTGAAAGAGATAGACCGACGAGACCTCCCCCTCGGAACCAGCCTGCAGGCTCCCTCACGACGGCCAAGGTCACTTCAATTAGCCCCTCCTCGCCCAATTGGGCGTCGCGCTGGAGCGGCTGGAGGGATGGATGGCGTCTGGCGCGCCTCGGGGCCCCGAGTCGGGGGCAGCGTCCCCATCGTGCGAGTTTCTAGCCGCTAGACACTCGGCTTCTGCGACGGGGACACTGCCCCCGATGCGCACCAGACACCGCAATCCATCCCTCCAGCCGCTCCAGCGCGACGCCCAGACTCCAGCGGAAGACGAGCTCTGGGACCGGCAGGGTTCGAATGAATGGCATCACTCTGCTCTGTCAGTGTCAACCGCACTTCCTTGCGCGGAGTAACTGTCCGCACTTGGACTTGCAGTCTCTACTCTACTTTGTGACGTGTGGAGTTTTCGTTTTTGCCGATTGCAACCTCAAGTGTGGAGTTTGCAGTCTCCACACTTGGACGAGTGGAGTTTGCAGTGTCCACACTTTTGGACGAGTGGAGTTTGCAGTCTCCACACTTGGACGAGTGGAGTTTGCAGTCTCCACACTTTTGGACGAGTGGAGTTTGCAGTCTCCACACTTGGACGAGTGGAGTTTGCAGTCTCCACACTTTTGGACGAGTGGAGTTCACAGTCTCCCACACTTGGACGAGTAGTGTTTGCAGTCTCCACACTTGGACGTGTGGGAGTTTGCAGTCTCCACACTCGGAGGTGTGGAGTTTGTAATCCCCACACTTGGTGCAGTCTCCATACTTTCTGGAGATGCTCACAGAGCCTCTACTACGTCATGGCGTGCTGCAAACGTGGAGAACGCTCCGCACTTGGAGTGTGGGGAGACTGCTGCACTTCCAGGTTGGGATACTGCAAATTCTACACTTCCGGATTCATCCACACTTGTCTTCACACAGTGTGGTGCTGATACCAGCTTGAGACTTGGGTCACTCACTTGAGGACGATGATGCCCTTGGCAGTGGCGGCCTCCAGGTCCACGTTGTCCACGCCAGTGCCCGCCCTGCCCACGACGCGCAGGTTGGTGGCGGCGGCGATCACCTCGGCCGACACGGTGGTGCTGGACCTGATGACCAGCCCATCGTGCTTCTGCAGAAAGAAGGAGGAGGGTGGCATGAGTAATCCAACTCAACACACACTGTGTTCGCAGCCCAACAAACTGAACAGTGTGCATGGCACACTCTACCTGGAGCGTGCCTGTATGCTCACTTCAACGAGCAGTGTGTTTGGGTGTACACTGCTAGGAACACTGTTCTCCCCAACGCACTGCTATGAACAGTGTACTTCCAAAAACACTGCTAGGAACAGTGTGCATCGAAACACAGGCATTCATGCAAGAACACTCCTGGTGGAGTGTGCCATGCACTCGGCCGTGCATACAGTTGAGTTTGTAGAGAGAAACAGGGTACGTACCGGGATCTCCTTGAGGAGCTCATCCTTGGACATGCCGTACTTGCAGGTGACAGGGATGCCATTCTTCTTGAGCAGATCCACGCACAGTGGGTCCACCTCGTCACTGATGAGCACGCTTCGGAGGGGAATTGCCATTTTGACTGAAAGCAGGCAAAGAAACAGTCGTTATCGATTTGTTCCGGATCAATGAGCCTTGGTGGGGGAAGTCGGGCGGAGGTGTAGCAGCGCTGAGCCATTCAAACGGACCAGCCGATTGCCTTTGGATGGTTTTCCCATCACACACCGGTCCACTGACAACAGCTGTTTGTCTACGTGTTTGCGATAGTACGTACGACAGCACGCGAGTGTGTGTATGTGTATATGTGTGTGTGTGTGTGTGTGTGTGTTACGATTCACGCGGGCCCTGATAACAGCCATTTCACGGCCGGCCGCGCCCTCCGCGTCGCTGTGCGTATTCGACGTCCGGACGACATCATTCCGCGCCAGTGCTGCTCTGCCCGTAATTGGACAGACCCTTGCTTTATGTCCGCACAGGGGTCGACGACGGATCGGTGACTTGGAAAGCCAATTTCAAGTCAAGCCCTACTTACTCGCGGTGATATGGAGCAAGGGGAAATCACAGTGAATTTCGGTGTACAAATGCAATGAATTTCAGCTGAATTTCGATGAATTTCAGTCGAATTTTAATTAATTTCAGTCAAATTTCGATGATTTTCAGTCGAATTTCGATGAATTTCAGTTGAATTTCGATGAATTTTTGATGAATTTTACATGTTTTATGAATTTTGGAAAGCGACTCCGAACAGGAGTCCGAACACACACTCTCTCTCTCTTTTACTCTCTCTCTCTCTCTCTCTCTCTCTCTCTCTCTCTCTCTCTCTCTCTCTCTCTCTCTCTCTCTCTCTCTCTCTCTCGGGCGCGGTGACCTTGCCCATAGTCAGTCACCAAGCTCGGCCCGGCGGCCCGGCGAGTCGGATCCCCCCCGCGTGGCTGTGTACTTCCCGACACACATCTGCCGGCGGTCTTTATCGCATTCCCTCGTAATATGCAACATGCAAGGCGCCAATCGAAATACCCCACGCGACGCGTGCTGCTGTTTAGCTCATCGCCGATAACGTATTTGTCCTCCCTTGTTTTTGAAACGGAAACAGGCAGTTGACTATCTCACCGGCTTGGCAACAACGGCCAGGACGGTGTCACTAGCATAATCTTTGTTTTTCACCTCGCCGAATAACAAACTACTCCACCGTGGCGGCGCGGTACGGCTCGGCACTGCGAGGCACGCGGCCCGAGGTTGCCAAGGCTCTACGAATTTCGGTGCCGTCGAGTCGAATAATCACGGCGTCGAAGCCGGCACGCCGGCCGACCCATTGCGCCCAGCAGACGACGCGACAACAGCGCCTCCACGCGGACGCACGTGGAAGCCTGACAACGCGGGCCGCGACGGAAAGAAAACAGCTGTCCTGCAGACTGACTCCGAGAGTCTTCTTCGTCGCTCTGTCTCTCGCGCGCTCACGGGGCGTCGCGGGTAGGTGGGAGAGAGACTCTCGGAATGAGTCCGCTGGCCGTGCTGCGGCATGCAGGCCGGCTCGTTTCGAACGCGGCCCAGTGGAGACGCGCCACGCCCCGCCACTACACCAGCCGAGCCGGCCGGCCCGGAACGCGCACTGTAAGCGCATCCACACTGGAAGACGCTCAAGGAAAAAAGTAAAAGAAGACGTCTCACAGAAACCTAAATTTACAGTTTCAGGAGTTGTCACCCTCTAGGACTGGCGGCATTTTTCGGATATCGCCTTCAAACCGTGTGTATGCAGTCGTGTCATGCCCGAAATGCTGTGATGCCCTATACCTTTATCGCCAGAGGAAATTTTTGGACCCATAGCACAGGGGCATTGCCAGAAAGCAGGACGAGCGGTCTTTGGGTTCACAGTGCAAGTGCAGGCAGGCTGAACACAACGAGGTAGCCAGCAAATTTGTTACTTGCACTCAAAACGTTTCGGGCTGAAAGGCTGCAGCTACTATGGTGAAGATTTTCTCCACAATACGAATTTCTTTAAAGAAATTCGATAGAATGTCAGTGAGTTACAAAGATGGGACGTCTTCACCATGATATCGAGAATCTTCACCATAAAATGAAGAATCATCTGCATTACATGAAGAATCATCTCCATTACACTCTACCAAAAATGTCCTGTCAATGCCGTTAATTTATTACCAGTTTTCACTGTAGGTCAATTCACAGCGTTTACTGTGATCTGCTCACGCGATTCACTGTGATCTTGTTCACGGTGTTCACTGTGATCTAGTTCACAGTAAACACTGTGAGTTTGACGCCGCTGAGCACCGAAGTGCTGCAAATCAGGCTCCAATTCACGGCGTTTACTGTGGCCAGATCACAGTGAACACTGTAACCGAGATCACAGTGAACGCCGTAAACTAGTTCACAGCAAACGCCGTGAATTGCATAACAGCAAACATTGGTAATAAATTAACGGCGTTTACAGGACATTTTTTGTTGAGTGTACATGAAGAATCTTCACCACAATATCATGAATTTTCACCATAAGACGTTTGAAGTGTGTACTTCGTTCACTGGCTGCCTGACTGCCAACCAACACGTCGAACTCTAGTGCTGCTCACTCACCTGTGTTGGTGTGCGGGGCTCGACGCTCTGTATGCCTCGCAGTGTTGTCCACGACTGACTGTAGACTCGCGTCGTGTCGCGTGGCTGAGCCTGGCCGCCTCGCCGGGGCCCGCCTGTTACCAGCGCGGCACTCGAGGGGGCAGGCCACCGCGGGGCAGGGGGGCGGGGGCCTCGCCGGTCACACCAGTCACCCGGCCAGCTCCTGCCCCCCCCCCCCTTTTCCCGTGCGTGACTCTCCTCTAGTGTGGAAGCAGGGCAGCGGCAAATCCAAAAAATGTTGTAAACGTGACGCACAGTGGGCCAGAAGACCGGTGGAGGCGGCCAAAACTCTGGACGTGTTTTGAGCTCCAGAGTCGCGAAATGGGACTCGAACCGAACGTGTGACCCCACCAATGGATTGCTCGTTCGGAGAGAAATCCATTGGTGGGGTCACAACGTTCGAGGCGAGCCAAAATTAGCGACTCTGGAGGTCAAAACACGTATGAAATTTTGACCACCTCCACCGGTCTTCGATTCTGTACCGCAGTGTGACGTCATGCCGATAAACGCCCCGCATCGACTTCGAAGCTTGCGAAGCCAAGCCGCCTGATAAGGCTATTAGTTGTTGCCACGAAAATAATCCTTACGAAATTTACTCGACGTGTTGCTCGATCCGATGGCAGTGGACCTTGTTTTAGCGCTGAAAAACAAGGGATGAAATTTGTTTAGACGCCTGCTGTGATTGTGACGTCAAGGAAGTACTCTGGAAACTGCAGATTGTACGAAAGACACAAGAGTCAACTGAGAGGAAGGCGCAAGATGATGTAAAAATGAGTTCATATGGCTCGAGCGTACACGCACATGTGTTATTTTGGGGGCAGGCCAACCACAAAATTAGAGAGTGGACTTGTATGTGCACGAGCAGCCTTTGTCACTGCATTCCTGCTAAGAACGTGATAACGAGCGTCACCCTCCAGTTTGACACGAGCGTCAAACGTGCTCATTCTACAGCTTCCAGAGTAGAAACAAAATGAGAAGGGCGATGGTGAGAGTGCAAACCCAAATCGTAAGAACCCAGGCGGAGCGCTATCAGAACGAGGGGTCCGCAGGGGAAATCACAGTGAATTTCGGTGTACAAATCCAATAAATTCTAGTTGAATTTCGATGAATTTCAGTTGAATTTTGATGAATTTCAGTTGAATTTCGATGAATTTTGATGAATCTTACATGTTTGATGAATTTTGGTGTACAAATTTGGCTGGAGTTAATTACCCTTAGGGGTCCGCCATTGACTGAAATTATGTACAATTCGTGTAGTGGGTTCCCGATCAACTCAGCCATGTTTTTTGCCTACTTACACACACTAAATGTTATATGTACAATTTTGTACGAGACATCACAGTTTTTTGTGCACACGAAATTTTCGTACAATTTTCGTACGAAAAACTGCACATTTTTCGCCATTTTTGTACAAAATTGTACAAAATTTTGTACAAATTCGTGCAAAAAGTTCGTGAGCTCAAAAAACTGATGTCTCGTACAAAACTTTTACAAAAACATTCAGTGTGCAAGTGTGTGTCTAAAATCTAAGTGAGTGGGAGTGAGAGGGAACTGGACGAGTACAATGAGTGCAAGAGGTGCTCGAAGGAGTGGCAGACTTCCTGCATCAGAAATTTGGCTCCGAGAATGTAAAAGTCAAGACCATGGCCATGACCGTGGCCTCGATGTCGAACGGTTTCACTTCGGCAGCAATAATCGGCGACATTGGGCGCACGCTTCGCTGAAATGGCCCATTCTGGCTTTGCCGCGGGCTGCAGCCTAATAGAGTGCCTTGCGTCTCTGTCCTCGCGCTTATAGGGTGGCGCACCACATAGACAGCCGAGTGCGAGAGAGACAGCGTGACGTGACGGAGCGACGGGGCAGGGCACTGCTCGGAATCGGAGGGTGGCTCGTTTGATAAGCGGGTCACCACCGCGACTACTGCCACGACGAGGAATGCTCCACGGCGTGCCTGCGGCTGATGCCATCCATGATGCCATTGACCAAGCAGATGACACATGGAGGTGTCCCACCCACCTCGCCTCATCCCCTCGTCGCCGAGGGGACGCCACGGCACCCGAGATCCGACCGAACTTGGTGATGTCGCTCCGCGTGCACTGCCCTCGTCGACCCAGCAGACTGATTCCGAGAGTCGTTTTCGTCGCTCTGTCTCTCTCGCACCTATACGGGACGCCCCGTGAGTGCGAGAGAGACAGAGCGACAAAATCGACCTGCGGAATCAGTCCTCTGTCTCTCTTGCACTCATGGGGCATCCTGTGTAGGTGAGAGAGGGACAGAGCGACGACGAAAACGAAAACGACTCACGGGAATCAGTCTAGTGACGTCACAGTCTGCTGCAATGCCCCGGCGATGGCCGTCCGGTCCGATAAGTGCTGGATGCGCGTAGAGAACGCAGCGGAGCTCATCGCAGCTCATCGAGGCTTTGTTTGTCTGGGTCAGACCGCGACGTCATACTCCCTGTGGGGGAGGAGGGAAGCCATAACCTCTGCGAATACCCACCGCGCTTTTGTTTATCTTGCTGTCCAGGCGAGCGATTCTGAAGACTCTGTCTCTCTCGCACTCATGGGACTCTCCATATGGGTGCGAGAGAGGCAGAGCGACAAACCGGACTTCTGAATCGCTCGGCAGGCGGAGACCGACCGCCCGCCCGCCGACCCATTCGTCTATCAATATTCGGAGCAGTTGGAGCGAGAGCGATGGAGTTCCCGACCCCACGGACTCGGGCTTGACCTCCACGCCGATGATTCGACGGCTCCGTTGCCAGCGGTCTGATTCAGAGAGTAGTGTTCGTCGCTCTGTCTCTCTCCCACTTGGGGTGTCCCCTATTGGTGAGAGAGAGAGACAGAGTGAAATAGTCAGCAGGCTCAGGGCAGTCGCCAAGTTGAAAGGGTTGACACTGGCAGTGCCAATACATGTCCATTTGTACACAAAGTTTGTTCTGACAACTCTCTCCCTACATCTCTGCGCTTAAGAAGAACGAAAGGGCTTCCTCTTGACATAAAAATGCTCTTGGGCGGAAGAAATCCTTTTATCGAGAGAATGTTCTAGGGCAGGAAATTACTCTTGACAGACAAATGCCCATGGGCGAAAGAAATGCTTTTGGCACAGAAATGCGAAGGATACTACGGTCAACTTAAAGCGTAAGGCCTTCAAGCGTATAGTGCTTAAATCGGCTTGAATGAAACTTACTGCAACGCGTCAGTTCTGCTAAAGCGCCAGCGCGCGCACTGGACGGCAGTGTGTCCGTTCCGGGCCGCTGCTACAGTGCGCCCGGCGGGGTAGGCAGCCCATCGGACGCTAAGAGGCGACTGGTGGTCTGTCCAGCGGCGGCTCAAACGGTCCGCCCCGACTCACCGGCCCGTAATGGTAATGGTAACGGCCGCCGGCGGAGTAGGCAACCCGCTGGCATCCACTGCGCTCGCCTTGCCTACCCAGCACGGCGTTTCACGCGACGAGCCTCGCTGTCAGCCAGCCGGCCTGGTAGGCAACCATAGCGACTCGTCCATGGCGCTCACGCGAGGCGCCGCACTGCACTGCAAGAAAAAGTGTGGATAGTACAACAAAAGTACAACAAAAGTACAACAAAAACTGTACAATAAAAGATCAACAGGGATTGTAGAAAGTACAACGAGAATTGTACAAACCACAACGAGCCCTGAACTGCACAGCACTCCTCATACTGCTTCCATTGTACTTTGTACAACAATTGTTGTACTTGAAAAGTACACTAAATTCCTGATAAAAAATTTGCCAGAAATTTGTGTGTTTTTGTTGTGGTTATTTCTTGCAGTGTGTCAGAGACAGCGAGCCGCGGGGGCAGCTCCACGGTAGACACGGCACTCAGTTTTCCCAGGAAGCCTATGGTAAAGACATAGGCGATTTCCAGGGGGTTCCTGGGAAAACCCGGTACCGTTTTGACCGTGTGCAGGACTGATTCCGGGAGACGTTTTTCGTCACCCTCACTGATAATCCAAGTGTGGGACAGGCATGCACTAGATAACGTGGGACAAACTGTCCCACGCTTGGAAGCGTGGGACAAAATGTCCCACGTTTGCAAGCGTGGGACAAACCGTGTTACACGCTTACAAGCGTGGGACAAACCGTGTCCCACACTTACAAGCGTGGGACAAATCCGTGTCCCACACTTACAAGCGTGGGACAAACGGTGTCTTACGTTTGTAAGCGTGGGACAAATCCGTGTCCCACGTTTGTAAGCGTGGGACAAATCCGTGTCCCACACTTGCAAGCGTGGGACAAACCGTGTCCCACGCTTGCAAGCGTGGGACACTTTGTCCCACGTTATCTAGTGCATGCCTGTCCCACACTTGGATTTTCAGTGCTGTCTCTCTCGCACTCATGGAGCGTACCAGGCAGGTGCGAGAGAGACAGAGCGAAGGAAAACTTCTCTCGTAGTCGGACAGCAGCGTTTCCAGTACACCGTCCGAGCGAACCACCAACGCTTTATTGTCCGTATTGTCCGCGAAATCAGACTCATGCTACCGGCTACCGCCCCCGAAGTCGCATCGCGTCGGTCGCAAAAAACTTTCGGCACTTACGTCGGGATTCGAACCCGCGAAAGCAGAAGTCGTCTCGCGGGGTCGTCGGCCCGCGCGGCACCGCCATGAAAGGCGGGGAGGGGACGGCGGGGCGACGCGACGCACGGCGCGACAGGTCGACACGAATTATTGTTTGATTACCGAACGCTGCGGCCAAACGCACCGACCGCGGCCCGTCGATGTGTGTGTAGAGTGTAGGGGCGGCGGTTAATAGATGAACCGTACAATGCGCGTGCCAACACGCCCTGTTCTTGTGTGCGTGTGTGTGTGTGTGTGTGCGTGTGTGTGTGTGCGCGTGTGTGCGCGATGCCGCGGCAGACACACTAAGTCATAACTCGCACGCTGTTCTTTATTTTACGTACGACGCGTGGTCTGGTGCGGCCCGGGCGCGGCCACGCCGATGCAGCGCCGTGCCGGCATCAGACTGACGCGGACTTGTCCGCCTTTGACCCTCCTCTCTCTCTCTCTCTCTCTCCCTCTCTTTCTCTCCCATGCCCTGCGCCATCCCATTCCAGTGCCACACACACACACACAACACAC